AAATAGGTAAAAACTTGGTATCAAACATGCATAACTATAAGGTAAACATAAAACATGCACAATTATGAAAAAGGCAAGTGTTACATCAAACAATGCATAAGACAATACATAATTTGAGGTTTAATCTTGTGGTTCAGTCTTCATCAGCAATGGACCAAATCGGTGATCAGCCTGGTACAAGTGTCTTTGAGTCACGACCTGACTCATGTGGCTTCATGATCTGGATCTCAGCTGGGTAAACTAGTTCATCAAGTGGGTGGGCCCGGTGCGCAGGAACCGTGGGCCAATAGTTCTGGTATGCAGTCTTGTCTCCCAATGAGACAAGGTCTTCTTCCTGTGAAGGAAACTGGAACCAAATCTGGAACAGAAAAAACTGGAACCCAAGCTTCTCGGGAATGAGGGGAACTGGATTCACAGGATGCTCAGGAACTGAAAAACCTGGAAAGACATAAACAGCTGGATCTGGAAACTCAGGAATAGCTGGGCTGAAGAATCAAGATCAGGAACATCAGGAAACTCAGGAACAGCTGGAGCTGAAGAATCAGGAACAACAGCTGGGATTGAAGGGTAAGGAACAGCAGCTGGAAGTGAAGAATCAGGAACAACAGCTTGAGCAGAAGACTCAGGATACTCAAGAACCGAAGGGTCTGGAGTCACCGGTGGAGTACTGAAGAGGACTGCTACTGTTGTTGTCAGGGTGAGGACTTCATGTGTGGGTGTCAGTGTATTTAATGACATGGAGTCCATGAAAGGCAGTAAGTCCTTGCAGGCTTCTACAAGGCTAATTCTTGGGGTGCTGAGACAAGTGATCAAGACGATCAAAACTATGCCTAACTTCAGTTGTCTGCGCTTAGACAGGGTTTTGAAGCGGATTGGTTGACGTTTACCGGGTGTCTGAGGTTGAAGGTTGGCACTTTGATCTGAAGCTGGAAGTGCATAACGTTTTGGTCTATGTGGCATCTGTCTATTTGGACAGGCCAAGAGCTGAAGACTTTCTAGCCAGATCAGTTCTGTTATCTGTGTGGCAAGGTTGGGCCACTTTACTTGGTTGACAAAGTTCTTATTTGTTGGCACATGTTGCCATTGTTCAGGGCTTAAGGATGTTTCAATCCTTTTCTCTCTGTTGCTTACATGGACGTAGAAGTGTCCACTTTGTTTGCAGATGTAGCTTGACATCACCTTGCTGTCTGCGTAGAAGGTGGTGGACTGTAGTTCAAGGCACAACGTCTTTGCTGTCAAGTTGGTCAGCTTTACAGCCAATAGCTGTAACCTTGGTACGGTGTGGCCTTCTTGTATTGTTAGTCTCGCTTTTCCTAAGAAGACACTGAGACTGCAGCACTCCCCGCTGTAGACTCTGATGCATCTTATGGTTGCAAACAAGATAACGTAAGTGTGGCTCTCCCCGCTGTAGAGTGAGACGTATCTTAAGGCTGCAGACACCTTCGTAGGCACATCTAAGGAAGCGTACAACTCTTTCTTCTGCACTGGGGCCGGTGAGCTGGAGACATACATGCGCTGCACTTGCATGCTTTGGAGACATTTTGGGAGTATGCTCCATGACTCCCAGTCTTGGGGGCGTTGTTTGTCTTGTTTGTCCTTTATGGACAAAGCTAAATTGTAGTAAGTCTTGCTTGTCTGGAACATGGTTGCTTCCAAAACAGGTTTGGTTGTTACAAACGTGCAATGCTCTAGATGCGGTTGGAACACTGTTGCTACCAAAACAGGTTTGGTTGTCACAAGCATGCAGTGTTGTTCTAGGCACGGTTGAAACACTGTTGCTACCAAAACAGGTTTGGTTGTCACAAGCGTGCAGTGTTGTAGGTGTGGTTTTATGGGGTTCAATGGGGTAATAACGGTGGAAAGATCTTGTGGCACTCCCCACTGTGCAGTTGTTGCCATCAGGTTCAATGTGGCAGCAACGACAGGAGGATCTCGTGACCTAGGTGTCGTGTCATCAACTCTGTGGTTGACCAGCGAATCAGGTCGTTGAGATTCCTCTGTTTGTCTACTCGGTCTTGGGGGGCTTGTGGCTGGCTGAGATGCTTTCACCTGTGCATTCTGGAATTCACTTTGGTTGTCCACGTAGGTCTGTACGCAGCTACGACGCTCTTCATTTTCCAGTTGTTGCCTGTCTGGCAAGAAAGTGGTGTGCTGGAGTATTCTCTGAAGGCCTTCCGCTCTAGCTATTTTGTCTGCCATAACTCTTAGGCATTGAGTAAGTTCAAGTTCTTCTTGGGCGTCCTTTCTTTTGGCCTTCATTTTGGCTGCTATAGCCTTTCGTTTGGCTTCCATTTAGGCTGCTTCGGCTTGTAGCTTGGCCTCTATTTCAGCTTCCTCAAGTTCTATGGCTGCCAACTCCTTCCTTCTCTGCCTCTCCTCTTGTGCCATGTGAAAGACAGCTTCAGCATCTTTAGCATCTATGAGCATTTGTTCGATTTGTGAGATTCGGGAGGTTCGGCTATGACAGGAAGATGCCTTTGAAAGGCGGGAGGCGCCTGTGATATGCGGTTGTTGGGACGGTGTATGTGAATAGCGGGAGACTTTGGACTCGGCTCTGTCGACCAGTCTGCTTTTCTGGCGAGGCTTGGGCTGTGGGGAACCCTGTGAGCTCTCTAGAAACTTCTTGCATTCCTTGTTTAGTGCTTTGAGGTTGTGCATCTTGCTATCGATTCTTGAGTCTCTTAATTGTTCTTGAATGTCCTTGAGTTGCTGTTCAGAGTCCATCCATTGCACATAGGCATCTTCCTTATCTCCTTCCACTGCGTGTACCCGTTCTGGGGAGAGTTTCTCCTTCTGTTCGTGGTAGAGTTTGTATAATCTCTCCCAGCTTCTTTCATGGCGCCTGTGGATGGTGTGCCATTTCTCCATCAGAATGTAAATGCATGGTGTCTGTGGGCTGGTTGATGTATCTCAACTAGGCTGATAGGTTGAACCCCTTCTGCTAGACCAGTAGGATGCTCAGCTATGGCTAGGATAGGTTCAGTGTCCTTCTCAGCTATTTTGAAGAGAATTTGAAGAACTTCTCTCTTTGACCACTAGGGGTCGCTACTTGTAGATCAGCTTCTGAGGTGCTGTCTGTGGGTGGAGATGCCACTGGGTGCGTTCTCCTGTGTTTGTGGGTACTTCAGTGCAGTTCACCCCTTCACCACTAGGGGTCACTTGCTGTGGGTCAGCTACCAGGGTGCTCTGGCTTCGAGGTTCACCCTTTGTCCACTAGAGGGGCTTCTCTGGGTGCGGTTAAAGGCTTGCGTGTAGAGTTTCCTTTAACCACTAGGGGCGTCTGGAGAAAGGCTATCCAAATTCTTCCTATTACCACGTTACTGCTAGTGAGCCACTGAGAGAATATAGAGGTACAAACTCCCACCTGGTCAGTTGCAGGCTGGAACTCCGGGTCATCAGCTGTGATAATAAGCGAAGGCAATTGGCTCTTGCTTCCTGTCTCTCAAGCTGGAACAGCTTAGCCTTCAGCTTGAGTGAGTGAGTGAGTACTTTTGGTAAGTTCACTCTGTGCCCTCTAGGGGGTGTTGAAAAGGCTAGCCAAATTCTTCCTATTACCACGTTACTGCTAGTGAGCCACTGAGAGAATGTAGAGGTACAAACTCCCACCTGGTCAGTTGCAGGCTGGAACTCCGGGTCATCAGCTGTGATAATGAGCGAAGAGACTTGGCTTTGATTTCTTCTGCCTACGTTCTCTCAAGCTGGAACAGCTTAGTGCTCAGCTTGGGTGAGTGAGTGAATGCTTCTGATAAGATCACTCTGTGCCCTCTGGGGGTGTTGGTAGCTTGGGATAACTTTAAGTAGCTTGCACTTTAACTAACAGATTTGCTCTGTTGTGTGCTGAATTAATTGTGGCTGTTGTGACTCAGCTAGAAAAAAAAATTGCATGACCACCAGGGGGTGCTTCTGCGATGATTCCTCCTTATAACATTGGCTGAAATTCCGAGCATACCTAGGGCTGTCACTATGGCAACAGATGAGTTTATTGAAAGGCAATAAACCTTGCTTTTGTCTGAACTTTAGAGGCAGTCATTAAACAGTTCTTTGTTTCAGGCTGCGTGATTCACTGGCAAAGAGGGGAGGGGGAAAAGCCCAAGCTCCTTTTGGTGTTAAAATTCAAACTTTTCATGCAAGAAACAAAGTGTAGATTTTGTTTTTGTTTCTCCCGGCTATAAACATTAATTTGAGAATAGGTCCAAAGTAATTTTGAATCAGATACAAGGCACTTTTCACTTTGAAGGTTAGCTAGCAAGCGAATTAGCATAACAAAACTTCTGAATCACTCCTTAAAAGCTGTCTTTTACACAGACACGCTGGCTTTGTTTTGCAGGCTTTTACAAGCATCAAGAGAATCTTCTTCCTTGAAGGTTTATGCAGAGAAAAGGCTAACCAATTTGATTCTCTTTCTTCAAACTGTTGCAGCTTTGAGGGGAGAATTAAACTTTGCCAATTTACTATTTGCTTTCAAAAGATGGCACAAATTATGAAAACATTTTCTTACTATTCTGACACAAACTTAAAGTGATCTCTTTTAAATCCTGTCAGATAGTTAACTCAAAAGAAACGATCTTATAATAAACAAAATATATTTTAATGAGAAAGATTACTTGCGTTCACATTGTGATTGTTGTTGCTGGAAATACATCTTTGTTCATCTTTTAGATCCCTTCTTTAGGTAAGAAAATGTTATTGCTCTTCACACCATCTTTATAATGACTGAGGCTATTGTATGACCTCCATGGCCCATGCTTGTTACAGACAAAGAGATTCCCATGTGGCTTGTGTCCAGGAAGTCTCCCAAAGACCTTTGGAACTCCTCCCACTGACCCATCCACATACCTAGCATTTAACCCAATAACTGCCAGACCTTCCAACATAGAGCTGGGCCATAGAGCTATATGGGCCATAGAGCTATATGGGCCAGAACAGTTTCCAAACAAGGTAATTGAGAAAATACTAAAACTGTTGTAAGGATGTTTTAATATTTTCTTTATGCTTTTTAGAGATTTGGTCTTGCTGTGACAAGTAATGTAGAATTACCACCTGCTGAACCAGGAATGTACCAATTGGATATTACATTAAGACGAGGTACTAACTTAGCAGCTCGTGATCGAAGAGGTAAGAGTATGCCTCCAAAATGTTCTAATATAGCTAGTTTCCTAAAGACTGAGATGAGTTTGATAAATAGTAATACTGCTATTACATTACTTTATATATTTTGTAATGATAACTTTCCCCTTAACATAAGGATTTTGTTGGTTTTAAAATATTGTTTAGCAACTTATAAAATAGATGGCTAGAACAGATAGTAAATTTGTATCAAACATATTTCTCTTATATCTGGGTTTTTCAAGTTTTAGAAGGCAATGAACTTTTTTCCCTCAGACCTTTTTTTCTGGCCCCAGAATGTAAAGACATATTTTTAAAAACATGAGCAAAAGAATACATATTCACTCTCTGGCTTGGTCCTAGATTCGGAACCATGCGTTGGTAACTGGACTGTAATCCCAGCTAAAGGGCAGAAGAATCAGTACTGTCTGCCAGTTAATTGTTGAATATGTTCAAGTAATTGTTTTGCGACTAGATGCATACACACTTTTGATGATGTGTTGGTATCTATTGTGTTGGAATATGTTATATTTCGATAGTTGAATATAGGTCAGATTTGTGATAAATGGAGATTAGAAACAGGATAGTTTACCACTGAAGCAATCATTTCGTTTTAGATCACTGTGTGCTCTGCTTTGTCAGTTTAATACCAATTGTTATTGGTAATACTGTGAGTCTTCAAATGAATATGGGAAGAATAGAATCAAAGAGACAAAATATGAGAAGAATTTTTAGGCAGCATTTGGCTGGCTGTTATAATTGAAAAACTGGAATATGAATCGTAAAATGTGTAGAGACTCATAATTAGCATTCTTGTGTTCTTTTGAAGTTTCTGGATGTCATTGAGAGTTTATACAAATGAAAAGTCAGATTATATATGTAATAATAAATAAGTCATTTAAGCAAAATTATTCTGCAAGTTATGTGATAAATTATGATTAAATTATGAATCAGCACTCTAATTCACCCATTTCTAATGAATAAAATTTGTTGTTTCAATCTGTAGTCTTGTGAATTGGTTGTCGGAGAAGATCAGGACATATAATGATGAAGAAGCTAAAATTTTGCTCAGTAACATTGTCAGAATGATAGTTCTGAGAATCATAAATGATTCCATGTATTACATTGAGTACTATATATACAAACTTAGAATTATTAATAGAAGAAATTAAGAAAATTATAGCAATATGTTTTCATTAAGCAAGGTTAATAATCAGTAATATGATTTCTCTTGAAGAATGAATTCTACAACAAAATGCTATAAAGACCATTTTAAAACTGAAAGTAAGGTTACAAACTAGTGAATATTTTAACTCTATACAAAATGTAGATTTGTTGTTTCAAAAACTTTATCTAAAAATTATTTCAACAGAATACAGCAAGATAGTGGTCATATAAATACCTTGGACAGAAGTGATGTAGTCTAAATAGTTTCTCAAAATAATTGACCTGTTATTTGTTTATTTCTTTTCTGTATTTCATAGAAATTGGTACGTAAGGTGGCAGAGCATTTGATTCCTATGTATTGAAGATAAAGTTCAGTAACTATGCCATCAGTGGAAGTATACAAATGGTGTAGGCAAAGCTGAAGAAAAAATAGTTGGTGCTGCTTATAATGCTTCAGGGTTCTTACAGAACAATAATTATTCCCATTATTTATCTTATTCATTGATTTGACACACAACACATACAATAAATAATATTGTTGTAAATAATATTGTGGTGGTAAGTGAAGGATTACCTGTGTGCAACCTAACCAATTATCCTTGATTTGCACAAGGATTTCAAATTCTCTCACTCGTCTTAACCTTCCTCCTTCATTCTTAAGATCAAATTTTATTCTTAACATTCCTCCTTCATTCTTAAGATCAAATTTTATTCTTCCAGCAATATGTAAATACATCAACCATGGTATATTTCAGCTTATGCTGAATAATTCTTGCTAATGTGTTTAATCCATGATTTATGGACAGCAGTTAACAGGACTAGGTCTAATATTGACTATAGGATTGTGTTTTATAAACCCATGATTTGTGTAGGTTTGTAACTGAGCCTCAAAAGAAAGATTTTTGCTGTCATACTGCCACCATGTGCTCAGCAAGGACTTTGCTGTTATAATTGCTTTCAGCCTTTTTTAAATAGCGAGACTAAAAAATACTTAAAATATCAATTTTTAAATAAAGTAATAATTGTCATATTAGAATATAGGATAAAAAAGCCTTAAATATTTCAATAAATATTAGAAATCTGCTTGAAACATTGTTTACTCAGACAACTTTGCTTGAAACATTGTTTACTCAGACTTGGCATATTTGTGTTTTTAATTAAAATGGAAATGAATGAAATATGTTAAACACAGGTTATATTTGTTATGGACAAACTTATTCAGCTTTATATTTACATGGCATGATACATTTAATAGTAAATATTGATTAAATCACATCAGTGTAATTTTGTTTCTAAATTTCATTTGCCTTCTAAATTATGCATTCAAATATATGTCTATACACTTTTGCTCATGTGCACATTTTATTGCAGGATTAAATGTTGTAATTGGCTATTTAAATTCTATGATAAATTCTGACAATATTTCAAAGAGTGTATTGAGATACTTTTCATGTAAAGTTATTCAGAGATCACGGGATAATTTAACAGATGGTGAATAAACACACAGTTTTAAATTCAATGTAGAACAAATTCAAATATTAAACTACTGCTTCCATGTTTTTTTATTATTTGATCTGGAATTTATCTCAAATATTTGTTTGTTTCTGTTGCATAATGTTTACAATCTTTTTAGTTATTGAGAAAGAGGTTAATAAAGGTATTTCCAGTGTTGACTTTGTTTTTACTTAACCTGATTATACACTGGAAGATAATTTTGCCTTGTCATTGCCTGATGAAATATTACAAATATATAAATTGTATTTATGGAATGATTTTGAATAAATGAAAATGCATTCCATGTTGCTCTTATTCACAGTAGTATGTATTATGCATGCAGTACTTACTTTAAAGTAAAATAGAAATAAAAACTCTTCTGAATGTCATCTTTACAACCATGAAAAACTATTTAATACAAAACAATAGATTTTTTATTCTAGGAATTGCATATTTTGCTTTAAGAATTAATATATGAGGTCTTACTTTATTCTCTTTGTCAGGAGTATTTTTAAGTGCTAATTTTAAAGAAACTATATAAAAGCAATGATATAGTTTCATGATCTACCATATATAGAACCTACATATATAACAAAGCAAGGAAAAATAATAAATAAATAATATACATATGGTAACAACCAACATTAGAATTACGAAATCTTGAGTTTCAAATAAAATAAATGTATAGAATTCATCCAATCTCACTCTTATTTTAATCTTTTAAAAACATTTGTTACTCCAGTCATCTAAAAAGGGAAAACTAGCTGCTTATTTTTGTTATATTTTAAATTTATGAGCTCCCAAGAACATCTAGTTTTCATATATAACCTTAACTTTTGCTTCAGGAACAAGTGATCCATATGTCAAGTTTAAACTTGGTGGAAAAGAAATCTTTAGAAGTAAAACAATCAGTAAGAATCTTAATCCAGTTTGGGAGGAAAGAACTTCCGTTTTTATTGAACACTTAAGAGAACAACTGTATATAAAGGTAAGTCACATCCAGTTCTCCTTAAAAATAGCAATAATAGGACATCTTACAAATCTCAGAGCTTAATCTTAACAGAAATATTGTTAAAGGACACAGTACAACATCCTTATTAAAATTGTAATATTCATCAAAATATTCCAGCACACAACAAAATAAAGTCTTCATAACTTTGATTATTGTTTGGGAAATTATCCAAGCCAGAAAAAGAAATAGTAAAATAGAACTTTACACGTGTATTTTATAAAAATGAGTACATGAACTTTGCGACCAGTTAGTTTGCAGTATCATCTAATAATTGCATGCCTCATGTATCTATTTGTGTAAACATTGAGTTGTTAAGTTTATTAAATCTGTTTTTATTAATAAAAGTGTTATTTGTTCATCTTAGGTTTTTGATTATGATTTTGGACTTCAAGATGATTTTATGGGGTCAGCTTTTTTGGACCTGAATTCCCTAGAACAAAATAGGTATCATTTTATGAAACTCATTGAATTTCATGATGTATTTCTTTCTATTTCAATGTGACTAGGGATACAGAGAAAGAAAGAAAAAAGAAGTTGAATGCTATACTACCAATACTAGTTAAAATAAATGTACTAGAGTTGAATTATCACAAATTTATGAAAAGAGAAGTAGGAAGCCTTGTCCTACCTTTCCCTCCTTATCTACTTTTCTTTCTGTTTTATATCTTTTAAACTACTTTGGAAGCATTTCAAACTGGAAGGGTATAATGTTTGAACTTAGATGATCAGCTATAGTGGGGTCTCCATATTTGTGATGGTATATGTCCATCATATTCTTGTCCAAATGGCCCCAGATATTTTCTACATGAACACTGACAGAGATAGAGGAAACAGGCGATTGTGGGGAGTTGAAGTGGAGGTAGTCCCTTAGCTTGGAACAACAAGGCTTGGGGCTGGGAAGGACCAAGCTGGGAATGGCTTTGATCATGTTGGGTCCTTGGCTAATGACCAGTAGAATTCAATTAACAGAATTGCTGGGATTGCCATTGTTAAGCAATGAGTCACATAATGTCGTGCTTTGTGACCGCATCAGTGACATAAATTCTGGTCCCAGTTGCCATTGTAACTCAACAACTACCTGTAATATTTACATTGCTTTTACTAAATATGAAAACATATCCAAGTTTTTATTAAAAGTTTGTACAGAACAAAGTTTCTTATCCAGGATAATGTGAACATTGTGTTCCTGTCATTTTAAGATGTCAGACAGTCCTTGGTATATATTAAGAGCCTTATCCATAAGTTTACAAAAATCCCTGGACTTGGTTCTTGCTTTACATTCCTCATTGTTTATTTGATGAAGGTGATAGAAAGCAAAACATAACTCATGAGTTCTTAAACTCTTTGTCCTGAGGTAGGCAGTCTGTAGAAGCATGATTTTAGTGTTTTCATTTTTCTATTGACCTGTTTTTCTAGGTCTGTTGATGTTATATTGAGTCTGAAGGACTCACATTATCCAGACCAAGATCTTGGGACTATATTGTTAAACGTGTTGCTGACCCCAAAAGAGCAGCAGAGGGAAGGGGTAAGTCTGTGCTAAATGTCATATAAGCAAAATGTCTAAGTTTCTAACTGGCCTATAAATGTCTCAACTTGTATCTGTCAGAGAAGATAATTAAAAAAGAGTATTTTTTTTCTGTGTATATAAATATATGCATTTGAACACCACACATCTACATTCTAAACATTTACAACTAGTGATGAGCTTTTGTGATGGATTTGACTACAACATAATTGTAATGAGATGTTGATAGAACAGAATATATACTTAATATAGAATGTATTTCATACAAATTTTGTCAATTTTGTCAAATTTGTCCAAGTCAAATTTAGGATTTTGCTTCAATGTCAACTTACAATGAAACTTGCCATTAAAGAAACAAATACTGAACAATTTGAGAAAAAGAATGAAATGCCTCACCATTTTTTGAATGTACTGTAACATTCCAAAAAAAAGAGGCCATAAGCAATAATTGCTTTATTAAGAATTGATAGCAACCTAATCTCATGCTTGGAATAAAAAAAAAATAACACCAAATTTTCCTTGTTCAAGTATTCGTAAGTAAGTACCTTTAAACTGGTATGTCAGAAAAACATTGTTTGAAAATATGAGTCCAACTATTCTTTTCCTAGTTAATATTATTTAATATTTTTATTACTTCTCCAGGAGAGAGAACTAACAAAAGTCTGAGGCACTGCCCAGAAAAATTTCCAAAAGTTATTACCGAATTAAAATCTGTAATATAACAGAAATAGGGGAAATTAAATATGTAACTGAGTTACATTTAAATGGAATCAGATTTCTACTCTGCTTCACTCACAGTTTTTTCTAATGAATCATGAAATACTAAGCAGCAGCCCCTCATCTAGATTCAAGGCAATTCTGTCTACTATTCTGTTCCACTCCCACAATCATAAAGGTACAGGATTAATTAGGATGAGAGATAATGAGTAGCTCCAAGCCACCTACTGAGGCTATGTACTTGAATGTGGAGTCTGGGTCATCCTAATCATAATTCAGTATCCTAACTTCTGTACCATTGTATCACTCTCACAATTGTGAATAGAATATAGAATAATAACTTTATTATCACTTTGAATGTACACTAATTGGCAAATTCATTGCATACAGCTCTCAAAGGGTCATCACTACATAAATATGACAAAAATACATACATACATATATATATAATTATGCATATGCCCACATATATTATATGACACAGATAAACAACAGTCTAGTTTGGGTTATGTATACAGGTGCATGGCAAGAAAAACGAATCTTGTGAGTTTATCAGACGGATGGCATAGGGACAAAGCTATTACAGAATCGGGTAGTCCTGCTAGCAATACTTTGAAACTCCTCCCAGAGGGGAGCAACAGAAATAGACCGTAAAGTGGGTGTGTGGGGTCTCTAATAATGCTTTGAGCTCTAAGCACATAGGACTTATAAGCAGCATCCTGAATACCAGGAAGCAAGCTTCCTATGATCTTCTCGACTCTCATCATTCTCTGTATGGACTTTCTATCTGAGGCACTGCTGCTCCCAAACCAAACAGTGATGCAGTTTGTTAAAATGCTCTCAATCGTGCCTCTATAAAAAGTGGCCAGGACAGAAGATGTGCTCTCCTCATCCGATGCAGGAAATGCAGACACTGGTTTGCACTCTTCACTAAGGAAGATGTGTGGAGAGACCAATTCAGATTGTTAGTTATCTGCACCTCCTAGATCAGGGCTTTTCAACCGGTGGTACGCGAACATCCTAGAAAAGTGGTAGCGGGGGAGGGGAATGAGCTGAACCAGTGGCAGCACTGCACAAGCCTGAGCTGCAGGGCTGTCAGGGCTCAGTGGAAGTGTCAGGATCAGCACCAGGCTCCAGCTGGAGCTCGGCGCTGATCCTGGCACTTCTGCTGAGCCCAGAAGAAGCGCCGATCAGCTGGAATGTTGCAGCATCTCCAGGGTCTTGTGATTTACATTCAGATGCTTGGCAACTGATTCATATTTATGATGGTCACAGTGTCCCAAGGACATGTGAAGTGACCAAAACCTGCTGCAACCATCCAGCAGACGGGGGGGGGAGGAATAAAAACCAAACACCCCGCACCCTATCCCCGCTGCCAATCCTCAACAAAAATGCTCACAACAATGGAAACCTCAGACAGGAGGAAGAGTGCCACTGGGTGGGCAGGCAGGTGTGTTGCTTGGCTGTGGCTTGGGGGGCACTTTTTTCAGTGCCATTGTAACTTTGAACAGTCATTAAGCGAACTGTTGTAAGTTGAGGACTACCTGTACTTTATCACTCTTTTTTTTTGGTCATCAAGTTTTTGACCCCTTGTTAGGCGACTGGTGGTACTTGGATATTGCCATATCCTAAAAGTGGTACAATGGGTGAAAAGGTTGAAAAGTCCTGCCCTAGATACTTAATACTGTTGACCACCTCTACAGCTGCATTCTTGATACTGAGTGGAATATGACTATGCCAGTTCTTTCTAAAATCTACAATGGTCTCCTTTGTTTTATCAACATTTAGAATTTTAGAAAAGAAAAGATGGTTATCAAATGTCATCCTTTCTTATCTGTGATATAATTAGTAGATATCTACCACTGTAGACTTCATATAATTATGCTTTTCAAATTAGTCAACTTTTTTTGTTACAGTAATTTGGAATTAAAAAGTTACAGTATGGAAGCATTTTCATCAGATATTTATCCTATATGACACATTGTCAAAACAAATTTTATTTGAATTACCTTACACCAACTATCCAGTCATACTGTAATGGTAACTTGAAAAGTATCAGAGATAGGATAAAAATATTGAATTACATTGTGAGTTTGTAGTGCTTTAAAAATTTGTGGAATGGAAAGGCATTTCATGTATAGTATATGCTTTAATAATATGCATCTCATATAATGTAAAATGCCTAGTAGCCAATACATGGTTGCCTGGGACATAAAGAATCTTTATGTAGACCATATTATGATGCATAATATGATAGAATGGTTAAATGCTAATTTATTGTTGGATTAAAAGTAGCTTTCATTGAAAAAGGGTTAATTAAAATTAATATGCTCTGTATATATTCATAGAAACACATTGATTAAAATTTATTTAAGTGTAAGTGTTCATTAATTAATGAAACTTCAAATGGATTAACTTCAAATCCATCCTAATAAATACATGTTGAAGTATTTTGGAAAATTGAAATATCAAGAACATATTACAGATAATGTTTTTTATGGGTATGTCTCTGGTCATAAAAGCAAACGAGTAAGACTTTCAATTAAAGGGTATGGAATGGGATTGTTGATGTGTTAGATTAGGAATTAGGAATTGTTAATGATGGAGTTTTAATGAGTGCTAAAAAGGACAGCAGAAACATTCCATTTGGCTAATGGAGGAGCTGAAAAAAACTATTTTTTGTTTGCTCTATACCAGCAGTACTATAAGTCTCATAGTTTAAGAGACGTAACATGCTTTCAAAATGTTTTTAATTTATTTTAACAATTAAAAATAATTTAAAACTTTTCTATATTTGGGGGCATAAGATTCTTCATGTGCTCTCCATGATTCACATATATCATGAGAACATGCAATCTTCTAGAATTTACAGAATTTATTGGTGCAAAATCTTCATAGCTTGGATGGCTACATGCAACTCTTCTTGAATCTCTTCAGTTTGTTTCAATTTCTGCAGTGAATACGTATAGTACATTCATTCTCACAGCTGGTCGATGTTTCTAGAATTCTCACTTCTCTTTACCTTGTTCTGCTTTAATTTTAATTTAATTTAATGTTTAAAGAAACCCTTGCTCTTCCAAATTTTAATGCAAGAGGCTTCATGTACCTTTTCTTTTTTTTTTTTATTAAAAGTTTTATAAATTTTACAAAAAAGGAAAAAAACAAAACAATACAAAGACAAAAAACATATACAAAGAAAAAACTAAACATTACACAAGAAACCCTCCCTTCCCCAACCTCCCCCAAGCACCCGCCCTTCCCCCCCGAGCTTCCCAGAGCAGAATATAGGCTTAATTAAAAAAACAATTAGAAAAATTATATTTTAATATATATATATATATATATATATATATATATATATATATAAATAAAAATTAAGAAAAAGCTATATAATATTTTTTAATATCCATTTTAAATTTTATCCATTTATCCCAAACAGCAAGAAATTTCTCTTGCGTTTGTTGCTTTAAAAAAGCCGAAATCTTTGCCATTTCCGCCAAGTTAGACACTTTAAAAAACCATTCCTGCAATGTAGGCAAAGATTCCTTCTTCCAATATTGTCCAACTAACAGCCTCGCGGCTGTAATCAAATTTAACATCAATATAACCTCCTTTGTGTCACAATCAATAACTATACCCAACAAAAATAATTGCGGAGTAAATTTTACCCTCCTTTTAAAAATTCTCTGGATATTCCACCATATCTTAATCCAAAATGCTTTTATCTCTCTGCATGACCACCAAATATGGTAATAAGTAGCATCCATACACCCACATCTCCAACATTTAGGTTGTAGGTCAGGGTACATAAAAGACATTTTTTGTGGATCAAGGTGCCATCTATAAAACATTTTATAGAAATTCTCCCTTAAATTCTGTGCTTGTGTAAATTTGACATTTCTAACCCAAATAGTTTCCCAGGTGTCCAATGGAACTGGCTCACCAAAATTCTGCGCCCATCTGATCATACAATCTTTAATTAGTTCCGTTTCTGAATCCAATTCAACTAAAACCCCATAAATTCTCTTAATGTGGGTTTGTCTTTGATCCTTCACTTGCTTAGTAAAATTTTCATCTTCTCTAAGAAAACCCACCTTACAATCCACCTTCCATCTATCTGCTAGTTGCCTGTATTGGAACCAAGAGTAAATAATATTTTCTTGTGTTAACTCTTCCCGTGATTTTAACTGCCAGTTTTGTCCATCCCACCTAAGTAACTGTCTATAAGACACCATGTCCATTTTAGCCCCTCTTTTTATTCCTTCTATCGCATGCCAAGATAT